GTGTGTGTGTGTGTGTGTGTGTGTGTGTGTGTGTGTGTGTGTGTGTGTGTGTGTGTGTGTGTGTGTGTGTTAAATTCCCCTCTTACTGTCCTCTTTCAATTAATCCCCAGCTTGTACACGCAGGTTATATAAACACTGGGGTTTTGATAGTGGCTATCAGTGAATTTAGTGCTGTAGAATCGCACTTACACCAGTCACATGCGGCATTGGGACTAAAAAGGAGGGAGAGGAGGGGATGTACAATGAGAGAGAAATGGCGTGGCAGAGGATTTGGATTCTAAGATAATGTTGATGATTATTAGAATATTGATCCTGATAACCCACCTGTTATAAAAGAATCAGTGCAAAGCCACCCACACATTGTCATTAGTCATCAGCAGCTCCTTACAGCCCACTGCAGTACATGCTGCCACCCATGATTTAGCTCTGCATCCAGTTATGAGGGGGTGTTTAGCATTTATTATGCAGCACAGTCCCAGTCCCAGTGAGATGGCAGAATGCTGCCCGATCAATACCCCTCACAGGAACCTAGGTTAATTTATTCATTTTAGAATGTACTCGTGCCTCTATGGCCCTCTGTGGTCTTGCCTAACACGGTAGGAGTGTTTAGTTACTGACACTCACACCATTGCACAGGCCCTACGTGCTGAAACTCTGACATCATTATGCAAACTCCATATTGGTACGTGTTATTAAGCTGTCGTTTTTTGTGATACCAAAAGTCGGGCTGCCCTTTTAATAATACTGAAGCATGTTTCTGAATGCTCGCTGTATAGTCTGGCTAGAATGTGTAGAATTTGAGTCCGCAGGGTCTCTGTATTGTTAGTATTTGACCTTTAGTTCTTACCCTGGCCTTATGCACCTAGTGTCCCACTTTTTGCAAACCATGTCAGAATTTCCTTTTTCATTGTTTTGACCTTTGCTCTTCATCCCTTTGTGGCTTTCCGTCCAAGCACCAGTCGTGTTGTTGGTCTACAACATATCCCTAGACACCCAAATAGTTTCCAAGTCTGTTATGCAGGCAGCATATGCTTGAATTTGCACACACGAGCTACAAGACAATAGCTTCAGACCTATTAGCTTGTGATCTGGACAGGCAGCTACCATATATCCTCTAGCTGCCAAACAACAGCAGCGGCAGCTCTGCAATCTTATGCTCTCTTCCCCGGCTGCTCTTAAGCAAAACAACAATCTCACCCTTTTCCTCTGACTGAACAGTGATCTGATTATGGATTATTGCAGTTATGGATTTCCATGTAAATAAAACATATCATCTCTAACCATCAGTTTACGCCTCAAAATGTGAGGACGAGATGAATACATTTGTTATCACTGTGATCATTTTGGTTACCACTCATCTGTATTGATTTTTACCGAGCATCATCAATCAAGGCACTCATAATGGATGCTGTCTGAGAGCACATATCTCCCTTCAGAGAATTATCACCTCAGGCTTGGGTCAAGCAGAGATTTGATCTCTTGTCAGTTAGATGAATTGATGTCTTACAGACACAACAGAGAGAGGTAGGGAGAGGATTAAGGTAAAGGTGAGGAAGAATAAAAAGAAGTCTAAAGTAGTTAAACTTCAGTCCTGAGGACTCAAAGGTATAGAAATAATCATATCCATTCTCCATCACCATTTGCCCTGGTTGCTTGTTTAAAAAAGTAGTTAAATGAAATCAATAGTGGTGCTAGTACTGGCCTCCATGCCAAGCATCATCCAATATTTATATAAATGAAGCTTCACAACCTCAATTTACCCTGCAGTTGCCTGTTTAAGGGGCTGTGAAGTACCTGAAGGTAAGGGGAATTCTGGACAGGATATGAAGATGAAGAGAATAAAATAAATTTCTGTCCCTATCAAGATGTCCTTACATAGTCATTTGCATTCATGTCATTTGACAGGTCATGATTTCCAGCTGTACCGAGTTTTGAATCAGGGTGCGCTTGCTACAATAAAAAGGAACCAGATCGTAAATTTCGCATGGCAACTTTAAGCCATTGCCAGTCCCTAAAACACATTTTCAGAACTGCTAAATTACTAAGTTGTTCCCAAGGCTTGAACTTCAAGCGTCATGGCTACACTTTGGTTTTTTCTTTTACTGAATCAACTACATAAAAGTGAAATAAATCCAGTACTGAATCTGTGCTCTGCTGAAATTCCATGCCACGCTATCAATAGTCAAAAATAAAAACATAATTTCTATTTATATCATTTTATTCATCTCCCAGAATACTCGCATAAAAACTTTAATTGTAGCCTGAGGCCTCTGGTAACAAGTACAGGTATTTGTTTTCCTTTCACTGACAGCTGGAGAGACCCTCTGGGATTTAAGTTGAACACTGAGGGCCGCTGTGGTCGTTGTATTTCATTATGACCACACCATTTCACTTTTGCCAAGTGCTCAGACTAAATTATTATTTTTCACCCACTGCGAGACATTTCCTCAGACACTGGTTTGATGTTAATGATTCATACAGTGTTTATTGAGATAACTTTAAGATTTAAACTAATCTTAATTTTGGGACGTATATATCTGAAGAGAACAAAAAGGGTCTAGTTTGAAAACCGATTAATGACCAAGTTATACAATTTTATGTTTATGTATGTTTACTGCTGCTTGCATTATGTCTAGAATGGGACAGTTCATTCATTTTAGAAAAAAATCACTGAATTCCCACCTTGTCCTTCATAATAATTAGAATGATTTCTATGTGATGGGATTTCTTTGGGCACTGGGAGAAATCCTATGAGCTGTGGGAGGAAACGAAGGAGCTTCGGTATTACATATTCTGTGGCTCACTGGCATTCTGGCTAGCATTTTGGGGATCTCGAGATTGTAAGAATTAACACAATTAAATAGATCGATGAAATGTTTCAATATAACAATATAGTTTCTAATTTTCTTTTTTAGCCACTCGAATTTTCCCTTCAAAATATTTCATTTAGACCCAGTAAATAGTGGCACACTTCAATTAAATTTAATCCTTACTCTCTGCAAAAATCCCCTCCCCCCTCTCTGTTTTTTCCAGACACTTTATTGCTTAAGGGACCTTAAATCCTCTATACTTCTTCTCAGGCTGGGTTTACTCCCAGGCCTTTATCAACCTCAACAAGTTATAACAATTTAAAATACACCAAAGCATCTCATTTTGTACCACTTATTGCAAATGATTAAAAAGAAGAACAGCCAAACACCATCTCACAATGTTATCGAATTAAAGATTTAAAGAATGTAAACTTATTGTGTAATGATTGTCAGTGAGTTCTTAAAACATTTTTATTCCTGATGACTTACAAGTTGTAAACATTATCTTATTTATCGCAAAATAACACAAAAAATAATGCAAATTGATCTTTTTGTCTTCTTCTCTTTTTTTTTCTCAGAAAAAGCTGCTGTAAAATCAGTATATTGATGTTGCCCCCGTTGTGAAATTTTTCAGAACATGGTGCACAATTGGTATAATGCTGCCACGGTATGAGAATGTGCACACTAGAGAGCAGTCTGTTCCCTCTTTCTGCAGTCGTTGTGATCCTCCATCTCTCTCTCACATAACATACTGTTCATGTCAAAGGACCCAGGAAACACAACATCTGTCAGTGCGCTAATGTACACAATAAACACCAAAGGGAGAAGGATATATACACGCACCTGGAAATGGCCTTGTATTCAACACACATTTTACATCACATGAAAAGAAAAACAAAAAAAAACAAAACAAAGTGACCAATATGTGCAAATCTTCTTGAAGCTGGTGAATAATTCCTTCGGTGGTTTGGATATTATTTGAACAGTATTTTTGATTTTACTATGGATGGTCTGAATGATTGTTGGCTTTGGTGTGCTTGATTCAGTAAGAGGAGGCAACGCTCCTCTGCGACAGCCAAAAGGTGAGAAGCAACGAGAGGCATAGCTTTAGCTCTTTTATACTCTTTCTTCACTTGGATGGAGCACAAATATTGTGATATCACTAAATGAAAATATGATTACTGATAAAGGATGAAATAGATAGTTTTTAATCTATTCACAGACAGGCAATGGGAAAGAAACTACACTGATAGAAAGTCAACACAATGAATGCAAAACAAAATGTGATTCAATCCGAGAAGAGGTCTAAAACTCAGATGGTGGGTTTTACACTGGAGATGAGATGCAGATATCCCTCTTCCCCTTTTCTTCTTTTTTGTTTTTCGTCTTATTTTTTTTAGGGGGGGGGGGGGGCTGTTTGATGCACTGCAGAGTCATGGCTCTACAGTCCACGAGCGCAAAGACTGCGTCTGTCGTCATTCATCCTCTCTGACAGGCTTCTCATATACAAATGAGTTTCTGTGAATAGCAATTCATTTATTTAAACACTTTTTTGTAGTTTACAAAAGAAATAGATTATCTTTTTTTTGTCCACACTTGCACGTCTTCTTCTTTAACATATTTTACACAGTTTTATTTTTACATTTTTAATTAAACTTAAATGTGTTTTTAATATTTTAAATGCTCAAATATTGTGTGTACCATAATACAAATGGTTTCTTTTTTTTCCTCTCCTGTGTCCCCAGTTTATTTTTAAACAATAATTAAATGTCCTGAAATAGAAAGACACATTAAAGCTCAAATATCCATCCTCGAGAGAAAAGCCTCAGCGCTGTATTCCTCTCTCTTTTTCGATAGAACACGAACAGGTCCAAGAGTCCCATGACCATTATGTGACTTCAGATCAGCAGCAGATAGCAGTAGCAGTAAATCCACCACAAAATAGTCAGCCACATGAAGCACACTTCTTCCACATCACAGTGAAATGCTTTGTAAAAAAAAGTGTCCAGAAGATTGAATAATTCCTTCTGTCCCCCTCCCCGGTGTATCCAAAAAGGAATTTACTGTATATCCAGATAATCACAGGTAAAGACTTACTCAAAAGCAGGGTCACACTTCACATTCCCGAGAAGCTTGTTGTTGGCAAGTGCAAGAGCCATATTCATTGATGATTACCAAAGCTCCCTCAATATGGTTAGGTTTATAGTCAACATAGTACTCTGGTGTAGAAATTGCAGCCATCTGCTGCATGCTTTGCTTTTGCTTCTGCTTACGGCGCTGACTGCTGAAGCACTGCCTCAGTTGCCTTATTCCAGCTGGAAAGCACTTCCATGCCACGTATAGCATGAGCACTATGATGAGAAAGGAGAAGATGAGTGCCATGGTGCCTGTTACCACCTTGTGGATCTGCATGGTGCTCTCTAGGTCATCATGGCCCACTGTGACAGTGAAAGAATTTGTGACCACTTCACTACCCTCGCCCTCATAGGGGTTGGGAGTAATGGGGCCCAGATCCCTCGTGGAGGCGTACAGGCCTGCTGTGGTCACCTCTACTGGGGGATCCTCACATAGCTGAAAAGCATAGACAGCATCCAACACATCCTCACCCTGTGCTGTGTCAGGGCTTGAACACAGCAGGGAATTGTCATGCTGGCCTCGGAAGGCACTCAGCCAAGAGGCCAAGGCACACACATTGCGGCTGCACTCCCAGTCATTCCCTGCCAGGGTAATGCTGTCCAGAGATGACCACGAATCCAGAATGCGCTGGTCCACAGAGGTCAAACGATTAGAGTCTAGCATCAGTACCTTGAGGTTTGGTGTACTCTCAAAAACATGTGGCTCGATGTACTCGATTTCGTTTGCTGACAGGTCAATCTTCTCTAAAAAGTGCCATGTCCAGTCTAGTGTGTTTACAACAATAGTGGCACGATTGTTGTGCATGTACAGAGTGCGTAAAGAGATGAGGCGTGGGAAGTGGGCTAGGTTGACTTTAACTAGCTCATTGTGCTCAAGATGCAGCTCAGTCAACTTAAAGAGGCCAGCGAAGGAGTTTCGTGCCAGGCTCTGCAGTTGGTTGTATCCCAAGTCCAGAAACTGCATGCTCCTGCAGTCCTGAAAAATCCGCACTGGCACAAATTTGAGAGCATTGTAGCGCAAATGCAAATTGGTGAGCTTTCTAAGGCCGTGGAACAGGTCAGGCTCTAGTGCCTGCAGCCTGTTGTATGAGAGGTCCAAGATACGGAGGTTTGGGAGGGGCCTAAAGGTGCCATTTGGCAGACTCTCAATCCGGTTGTTGCTCAGGTCTAACTCCTTGACTCGTCTCAGCTTGTCAAATGCACCCTCCTCTACAACGTCAATGCTGTTGTGATCTAAATAGAGCCAGGTGAGCTGTGACAGACCAGCCAGTTGGCCTTCACGCAGCTCCGTTAAGTTGTTCTCTCTCATGGACAGGCCCATGGCACTGCTCAGATTGCGGGGAATGTCTGTGAGGTTGAGCCCCTCGCAGTACAGCAGCTTGCTGTCGCAGCGGCACAACCTTGGACAAACCCCCTCTACCAAGGGAACTGTTCTTAGAAAAATGCCCAATGAACACAGTATCAACCCAGGGGGCTTCTTCAGTGGCCACTTTAAGTACAGTCCAATTAGAAGGAAATCCATTAGCATAAATATCCAGGGATGTCAGGGAGAAAATGTCCATTGAACCACTCTGGATATCGGTTTTGCCCGTATCAGATCATATTTATCGCATCATATCTATCTCGTTCAACAAGCTGTCTCATTCTATGTATGTCAGCTGAAGACAGTGATAGTATTTTTGTTATCAAGTCCCAAAAAATGCCAAAAAAATAAAGTCTCTTTCCTTACGTTATATATCAAGCAGTGGGTGGAGAGTAGAGGGGATGGAAAATCAAACTGTCCTCACTGATCAATCTTATTCGAAAAAATTCCTACTCACCCCTATTCAAAAGCTGACAATCTCCATTCAGCATCTCGCTTTGTGCCCCAACACTAATTATGTGCGAATCTAAAAAAGACCCCACTGTGGTACAAATTCTCCCCCCCTCCCTTCTCTCTTTTCAGTGGACACCAGATCCTTGGCAGGCTTACAATGTCTTAGTTCTCTTCAAGTGAAAGAGCCAGAAAGAGAAGGAATCCAAGTAGCTTTCAGCGAGATGGTAGGAAGTGCAAGTACCCCTGTCTGCATGAGCTCTGTCTCTCCTGCTCCTCCGCAGTCCTCTGCTGCAACGATCAGAGGGAAGAAGAGACAACCAGCGAAAGAAAAAAATAAGCAAGAATCTTTTTTTTTTCTTTTTTAAAATAATCTGTCTTCAGCTCTTTCCTCCTTTCCCTCCCGCTTAAGTTTCAAAAGATCTGTCAAAATGTGTTATCGTCCATCGCTTGAAGAAATCACTGACTTGTAAGGTTTAGATCCATTCAAGCACTTAATCATGATTTCAGTGACGGACGCAAGGGAAAAACAAAAAAACAAAACAGGATATAAAGAGATGAACCCTGTTCACTGTTTTCTTGTGTAACAGTATTCCTCGTCATCTGAGTGGCTCATATTGGTTCGGTAGCCGCTCGCATCCCCCGTGGCTCGCAGGTTTCGTTTACTCCCTTGCTCTCTGGGTGTCTTCTCAGCCAGCTGGAAGAGGCTGCTGAAGGCTGGTGCTGGTAGGCAGGCAGGGGCGGTAAATGTGGGAAGCAAAGGAGCGCGCAATCCCTTGCAGCAGACCAGTACACTGACAGCGCATGCAGAAGCACCTTCTGTTCACTGAGTGTCGTAAGCCACTCACAATTCAGAGTGCTCGCTCCCTTTCCCTCACTCTCTTGCTCTCTTTCCCTTGATCGCTCTCTCACTTGTTCATGCTGCTCCCCTCCTCCTCTTCGCTCTCACATCTTCCCTCACTGCTTTTTTCTTGCTGTGTTTTTCTCTGTGCCTCAGACATTTACATATCCAGAATGGGCTGGGCTTAAACCAGGGGCTTTAATGAACCCCCTCCACCCCCCATATCTCTAGCGCGCTCTCTCTCTCTCTCTCTCGCTCTCTCTCTCACTGTCTCTCTCTCTCCCACACTCCTTCCCTCCCTCAATGACTGCAATGAAATCGGCCTCTTGACGTTGTCTGATTTCAGGCTTGCAATGATGAAAATGGGATCTTATATTATTTCTTTTCTTAAACAGATGTTTGCTTATATATCTGTGCTATATAGATGGAGAGGGAGGGAAAGAAAAGATATATAATTTCATCAAAGAATTTCTAAATATCTTCAATGAGACTTAAACGCACTAGTCACCATGTATGTCCTTCATTATATCATAGATGCCACAGGAGAATACGTGTATATATGGTATACTTGTTGCTGCTTGCCAGCAACAAAGGTTGGCCTGTGAGTCAAGATGATTATGGCGTTCTTCATGTGCTCAAACCACCAGAAATTCTTTGTCGCTGACAGTTATTGCTGTCTGTGTCCATTGTGAATGCAGATGCAATTGTTTCCCACATAATATTAGCATTAAGCTAACATAGATATTCCCTCTGAAGGCTCACTTGTCTTCCTTTGCACTTCTCTGGAATTGCTTCTAGCCGTGTCATTGTTCTGCCCTAAAAGTTCAAAGACAATGAGCTGTGACTGTGTCTTATAGGCTTCACACGAGCCAAGTTTTAAACTTCTGACTCACCTCCTTCCTTTTCTGAGTTAATTGCACATTGGCTAACGGAACTTTCTTGTTCACTTATTCAGAAAACAATGAATTTAAGATGAACAAAAAAGAGTCTGAACAAAAAGATAAAGAGTGTTTTTTAATTTTTAATTATGCCTGCTTGACAATCCAGGCTGAGGATATAGAGCCAAGTATACAGTGTGAGAACGAGACGAGAAAGGATGGGAAAGGGTTTACATCGGCGTACGACCTCAGCATTCCTAGCCAAACTAGCAGTTTCCACAAGTTTCTCGAATTTATTGCCTAATTCAAAGTATAGACAGAAACAATTGAGAGGATTATTTCAAAATGTAGGATAGATAGAAAACAGAAACAAATGTATATTAGCAACAAGTGCGGAAAAAGCAGAAGCCAGAATGATATGGGTAAAAATGAAAATTTGACAAAGCACAACTTATTTTCTTCTTTAAAGTTTTACAGCCTCTGGCAACCGGGGAATTGCATTACTGCCATCTTCTAGAAATAATTGCGATTTGCTAAATAATTCTGTAGAGCAGATCATGAGTCGATCAATAGATCTTTTTCTATGCAATGTTTCTGCTAGTATTTATCTCTGCATTTCATTGTTGCAGGTGATACGCATACAGAGCCAAGAGGCAGGTGCAAGCATTGATTGGTTAATTGGGAACAGGTGAGGTGGGTGTGATTGTCATGTGGTCATAACCAGGAAGACAGACTGAGGACATCTGGTGGATGTTTGAGGGGAGACATGAAGCAATGTGGAGCACAAATGTGAATTTCTTTCCCCTGCATTTTATAAATTTAAAAACAAAAAGAATGTCATTTACACATCATAATCCCTTACACATTTTTTAATCCCTTTTATTTATTTTTTTTAAATTTTTCAGTTTTTCTCACCACTGTGTTGTATCATTATATGTATATCTCTGTCACATTGTCATGAGCCTGGTGTGTTTTAAACATCAGGAGTGAGTTTCTTTAAATTTGGAACAAACATTTGGTTTGATTCAAGGGTGATCAAAGGTCAAAAGGTCACTGTGATTTTTTTTTTTTTTTGGTCCTAACGCAACCCATGAAGAGTCTTTTTGAGAAGTGCCTTAAATATTTATTTTTTTAGTATTTGATATTCATTATTTATTTGTTTAATAGCAAGTATTTGTGCTTATGCTTGGAGTTAAGAGATTGAATTAGTTTAAATTAGGTTAGTAATCAAGATTAGATCTTATAATGTAAAGCTCAAGGTCACTTTGACTTCACCTCACTCCATTCTCATAAATGTGATATCCTACAGTTTCCAGGATGGAATTTCATTACAACTGGAGCAAATGCTTCACTTAGACTCGAGGATGAACTGATTAAAATTTGATGATCAACATTTAAGATCATAGTGCCATCGCAAATCACATTTGCAGCCATATCTCAGGATTCTGTGTGATAATTATTCACTTAGTGTCAGACGTAAAAGCGAACTGTGGACCCCGGATCACGCAGATATGTGGAAAACTCTTTGAAGTGTGCATATTCCTTTTCCCACTTTTTTCCTCAGCGTGCAGTTAGCAGTCATACCAGAGGACAGTGATGGCATGCTCTAACAAAGAAGCTGTCTTGATGTGTGTCTGTGTACTTTTTTTTTTACCTGGTTGACAATATTTTTAAATCTTGCGTCATGAGTGTTTTTCATATTGTCAATAAGAAAATCTATTAATAAAATGTTATATAAGAATCTGACTTTCTAGCTATCAGTGATGCTCATACATAATATAATATAATATATAGTAATAATATACACATAATATCATTATTTATTTTGTAATTCATAAATAGCTTTTAATAACGAAGTGGTTATCAGTTATGGTGTATCGTCAGCAGACTGAACTTGATTTGAGGGCTCAAATATGTCTCAAAATTAGAAGCATCTTTGATTGCAGGCCCATTATTAAAATCATTTATTGAATCAGATGACGTCCCACTGTTTGAGTCCGAGAAAACAAGGCAGATGATAACTAATTGGCCTGCCGCAGCGATAATGTTGATGGGCATCTCGGAAAGCATTGAGATAGGGGTTGGCGGAAACACTTACACCCCAGAGTGGAAACAGCAAGACATGATTTCACGTCCACAATGGACCAGGAATTCTAGCAGATGGAGGTTGTCTCAGTTTGAAAGGGTCACAAGCGGACATGGAGTTTATTAATTTCAATTTTTGTATTTGTTGTGTCTCTTCCTTAGTATTTTAATATCCACAGTAATGATCTGAGGAACAGAGGAAATGTCCTGTTTCCTTCACACTTAAACCAGTAATGACAGTAGCCTCGTGAAGGCTTGTGCAGTCTGAGTTTACTCCACAGTATCAAGAAAAGATCCACTTTGTTCAAACAATGATTTTAAAGGAGCTTGTACTAACTGCAGCTTGGGTAAACAAAAAGGGGAGCGTCATCATGTTCAGTGGGGCATGTGACAAGAGGACCGTGGGTGTCACACTAGGTTATAGCTCCTTGAAGTATGCTTTTGTATGATGCAAAGTTTATTTGTGTAAATATTCTGAATTATTAGCATGACTTGTCCATGTTTTTTAGCTTTAGGGCTGATTGTTTGGTTGGAGGGATGATTTACTCAGCAGAATGGATGAATTTAGAAAACTCTTTGTATTTCTCCATATAATATGATGGAGGAACAATAGCTCAAGGCATTAAGAACACAAGCCTGCCATTACATATTAAAATCTTTAATTCCACGTTGCTAACCCCATTTATATAAATGCATGTAACTTTCAAGTCTGAGACAGCTTGCTCTTTCTCTGCTTATTTTTTGTAGTTGCTTGAAACAGCCAAGCTTGTTATTGTTGGCTGGATAGAAGACATTGCCAATGATTGGCCTTAATGGCTGCTTTTTCCATATTGCATGTCGTTGAACTGTCCAAAGTTCATTGTACTTTCAGTATCTGGCATGTTTTGAACCACACGGGCACTTTAGTTTAAGCATTGGATGTATTTTTGTAAACCACAGAGACTTTCATAATTCCCTCAGCCAGACTCTTTTTAATTTCGGTGGTCTTCTCTGCAGATGCGTTTTGCTTTAGTGACTAGAGTTTTAATTCAGGATTTGATGATTTGCTTGTAGTTTCACCCCACACTCTTTTGACTTATCTAGTCTTTTGAACATGCTAAACACGCACAACATTTTGAACTTTGAAAGAGTGCAAACATAGAACTTTGAACTTCTTATTTTGATTATGTTGCATATACCTTTTTTTCTGTAAACACAGGATATTGATGAAGTATTCCAGGTGGGTAGCTATATCAGAGATGAAACCTCTATGTGGCACTGGCAGTTCTTCCCTTTTAGATGGCATGGCTCTTAACTCTGTCCTCAGTGAAATACAATTATGTGAAGAACTGGACTAACTGCATTGACTAGCATGTTACTTCCCTAAAGTCTAATGAGTATAAATTTGTATATGTATATAAAATCTAAGTTCACTGAACTTTAGCATCCTTTTATGTTAACAAAATGTGTCAAAAAGCAAACAAATAACAAAAAAGTCACTAAGTCAGACTGCACTCATAAACTAAAGAGTTATACACAACAGTCAGATGATAAACATCAAATGCACTTGGTTGACAGAGTAGGCTCCGACAAAGATGTATAAACTAAAGAACAAGAAAGAAATGCAGTGCATTTTTGTAAGGCACATTTGAAGAGAGAAAATATGCTGCTGTGAGAAGATCTCAAAAAGTAACGCATCATGCCTCTAAAGAAACAACTGACAAAGAAAGTCACTGATATCTATCAGTCTAGAAAGGGTTATAAAGTCATTTCTAAGGCTTTGAGGCTCCAACAATCTATGGTGAGAGCCATTATTAACAAATGGAGAAAACTTGGAACTGTGGTGAACTTTCCCAGGCGAGGCCAGTCTACCAAAATTACTCAAAGAGTGCATCGGTGATTCATCCAGGACGTCACGAAAGACCCCAGAACAACAACTGAAGCAAAACTGGCATCAATAGCAGAGTCTCAAGGTGAAAACTACTGCAGAACAAAAAGAACACAACACGTCTTGATGGTCACCAAGACTTTTGGTGAAATCGTTTGTGGACTGATGAGATGCAAGTTGTACTTTTTGGAATGTTAGCATGTCATTAAATCTGTCAAATTAACACAGTATTTCATAAAAAGTACATTATACCAACAGTGAAACATGGTGGTGGTAGTGTGCTTCAGGAATTGGATGACTTGCTATAGTTGATGGAACCATGAGTTCTGCTCACTACCAGAAAATTCTG